TTAAAATGAACTGTGTAATCAAGTTCTAATTTCAAGGATTTAATTATTTTAATAACGATAAAGGTTATTCTTTGTTGATATACATAGTTATGGCAGCGGAAGACGAAGAACACGCAGATGTGATGAACCGATTTAAAGTTTGTAATTTTTCAAACCTGCAGTCTGCTTTAAAAGTTCGTAAATATAAGAGTGACTGGAAGTAGTCATTTTTGAACTTAGAATGATTTTTAAATGAACTGGAAAATCTTAATGTATTTATTTTTTCTAAGAATATTGGACGATGAAATTGGTATATTTATCAATAAATATTTATTGCATATCAACTAATTCCTCTCACTTATAATCTGAATTCATTAATCTCTTTATTCATCAAATCAAATGGTCATATTTTATTTAACAATATCAGAAAAGGTAGCCAAATTTTGGATGATTGTATAATAAAATAAGGTCTCTAAATATTCTAAATAATTGCTTTCTAACTAAATTCCTAAAAAAACGGAGTGCTTATTTCATGAGCTTTATTCGGCATAATGCTCTGTAAGAACTATTTTAACTGCTACTTTTGCAGGAAATATGTGTAGTAGGTGACGATTTAGCAAAGGATTTCTTGTCTCACAATCATTGGAATTTAGAAGCAGCTGTTCAGGAGTTTTTTCATGTAGTGTATTTTACCAATTTTTTAATACTCTATCAATCTTAGATGATTGCACTCTTCTTTTTGAATTTAAATTTTTCCTTTTTTATTGAAAGTATTGGAAATACTCATTACTTTGTTTGGAAACTGCTCTTTAAAATTAGTTTGTGGAATTGATATCGTTTTTGAAAGATTACTCTTGATACTTATTACATACATAGTATTGAAATTGTTTCATACGATTTGTATTTCTGTTTTGTACTAATAGTTTCGACTTCTTTATTGCTCGCTAAACTCATCATCTTTCTTTCAGAGTGGCGAACATGTAGAAGAGGAGCAGAATCTTTCAGATGTGACAAATGAGTTGAGACACAGGCACATGCAAGCAATTGATCCATCAACTTCTCAGTAATTAAAAAATATTGCCTTATAGTCGATAGTTTTATGTTTTTCTGTGATTTTTATGTTTACGGAGGTAATCAAACAGAAGAATTATCTCATTGAAAAGTATCAACAAAAGCAAGATAAGCATTAAAAACGTAGTTTTTTTATATCTTTACTTAGGGATTATTATCTGTATCTTCTTAATCTCATTACTCAGTTTTAGAACATCTAGTACGCTTTCTGCATATGATTCTGACATTCGTCTGACAAGACGTCCTCCAGTTCCACAGACGTGGTTTGAATGGGCTGTAGCGATCATAAAGCTTCCTTTCTTTATAGCTTATCAAAGCTTATTTGAAATACTAAGTTTTGTTTGTGAGTTTCATAATCTTTTTTTTCGAATTGAGCGTGTGCTATGTTAATAGTTAATATTCTTGGTGTTAGTGTGGAAAGCTCCAATATTACTTTTATCATTAAACTTCATACATCTATAAATTATCAAAAACTTAATAAATTTATGGGTTTAAAAACAGTTGCAAATTAAGGGTCTTTGTTTCGAGCCCAGCCATTGGCAGTTACTGATTCTAGAGGAGATGTACAACAATTTATTTCGGAATTGAATACTCAGTTTGGTACTTTAACTGAAGGAATTCGCTTCTATAATGGATCGTATGATGATGTTAGTTAAAACATAATATTATCAGAGTAAAAGCAATTTTTGTGCCAAAAAAAGTTGCAAGAAAGATACTCAACAGGACGTTTAGAACTACTGTATAATTTATCATCTCAAGTACGGTACTGTATTATATATTTCCGAAATCTTTGTTCAATTTATAAAATGATTAGTATTTCTGTTTTAGGCGATAAATGAATGCAAGAATTCTCTGCGCTTCATGATAGTTTATTTGCATAATCCGTCTCATCAGTCATCTGAACGTTTTGTTCGTGAAACCTTGCTCAGTTACCAAATGAAACAGTTTTTGCATCGAAATGACATTCTTATTTGGGGAGCATCAGTACGTAGTCAAGAAGGTTATAAAGGTATCGCTTGATTGTTTTATTAAAGTTTTCAATATATTTCTAATATCAGTTCAGTTAAATACTTAGTGTTGAGTGATTTAGTCTTTGATTCATTTCGACCTGTGTTTATTAAAAATACTCATAGAGTTCTTAGTAGTTTTTTCGATATTCATTACTTCAATGTTTATAGTATCAATGGCTCTTCGAGAAAATACTTATCCATTTCTGGGTTTACTTTGTATGCGTGACACGAGAATGGTGCTAGTAAGTTTCAGAAATCATTGAATTGTCATTAAAATCATGGAAAACATGATATAAAAAATGGAATGAAAGATGTTTTGTTTTAATGAGACTAAAAATTTCTCTTACATTGTTTGCGCGATTTCTAAAGCAATAAATAAGCTTATTAATCCTTCTTTGGCTTGTTATGATGCAGATTAAGATCCAGTAAATACAAGAGAAGTTTCTATTGTAAACTTTTTAGTTTTTCTTCACTTATTGCTCCAGGTATTACGATTGGAAGGAGATTATGAACTTGAACCGATGCTCTTCACAATTCAAGTAGCAGTGGATGAAAATCGAGGACATTTAGATGCAATAAGAAATGAAAGGTAAACTATGTTCGTTAGTTTTAGACATATAAATATTTAATTAAAGTCTTAGATAATACATTATTATTATTATTAGGCAGCAGCGAGAGCTGAATAGTCGTATTCGTCGTGAACAAGAATCAGATTATCAACGTAGTTTGGCAGCTGATCGAGCACGTTTAAACCAGAAACGAAAGGCTGAAACTGAGCGGAAAATGGCTGAAATAAAGGAAGCAGAGGAACGTAAGAAAGAAGAAGAAAAAAAAGAGGTTAATTTAGTTTGGTGATTCAGTTTTCAACATATCATGAACGTTGTGGTTGTATTGGATACTACTGGTGTTTGCTAAAATTTATAATGTAATAATCAATGTCAGAAGAGATTAATTTCTTTTAAAGTATGTAGTCTATTAAAAGACGTTAGTAGTCATTTAGTGTTCACTTATAATTAAAGTAGTATGTATTCGAATATCATAAGATTACAGAAATAGGAGCAATATATTTTTATTCCAAATTGGTAGTACAAAAAATGCTCTAAAATTTAAATTTAAAGTTTTGAGGTAGTTTTAGCTATTTAAACAGTTTATGAAGCTGAACTTTACTATTCAGCGGAAAGGAAATTTTTCATCTTACTTCTCTCCTAACTTTATGATCATTATATCAAACTTGTAATCATTTTCAGAGACTAAATGCTATTAGAGAGGAACTAGCAAATGGTCTACCTCCGGAACCGGATTCACCAGATTGTGTTCGGGTTAGTGTACGATTTCCAAATGGTGAACGATTTGAAAGGCGTTTTGATGTTACGAATAGTCTTGAGGCAATTTTTCGAATTTGATAACTTATTTATTTTATGTATTAGATAACTTGAAGCATATAGTGAGCGCATTTTATGAAGAACACAGTCTGACTGCTTTATGAATTTTGAGTGATATGAACTGTTTTGGCAATGAAACTAAGCATCGATTATAGATTAGTGACACTGCTCGATCTAATTAGTTTCATTATACGAAAACTTTTTGTATTTCATTTTTAAAGATTACAATGCACATACTATTACGCTACATTGTAATTTTGAAAAGTGAATTACTAAATGACATGTCTATAATAAAATAATAATATACGACATACTTTCCACTCATTTTTTATTTTATAATAGAATCGCTCACATTTTCTTCATTTTTCGTTTACATGATAGCTTCCTAAAACTACTTAATGGTTTTATATGAACTTGCTTATAGTTATTATTCAATGCAACACTGTCACATAAATGTTGCCCTTCAAATCTTACTTTGGTATCAAACTATCCCAGAAAGCAGCTCAACTGTGCACCAGAATGGTATCGTGAATTTGGAAGAGTACAAGATCCTGACAATATCCCGACATTTCAGGAATGTGGTTTTGAGAAATCGGTAGTTGTTTTAGTGCAGGATAATGATGCTTAACTATAATGTTTTGTCTCTCAAAATTTTAGGTTAAACTGGTAGGAAAAGATATATGTGCTCTCGCATGTTTTTCACATATAGAAGATGCCAAATTTTTATTGTGCTTTATTCAAATGTTGAAATTAAGTGACTTCTGTAACATAACGTTATCGATTTTTTTAGAAAGATTCACAATTCAAATATCATGTATTGTTCTCGTGAATTGTCCTGATCATCAACTCAGGGATATAGAGAACATTATTTTGTATTTGTAATGTGATTCCATTTGTTTCACTAAAAAATATTGCCTATTAACTCTTGTTTTTGATTGCTGTAGTACGAATAATGTTATTCAGATCTTTTTTCATTCCTTTTTTTGCTAAATTACAATAGTATTTCAACCTTCAGGTTTTAATTGATTTCTAAAACTTCCAGATCTATAGATCATTTTCGCAGTGACTCAGATGTTTTAGCAGTCACTTCTATAATATATGTGGTGTGGTGAATATCTTTCATGCAATTTTTGTTAACGAATCATATTATTCAGAATATTTGTTGCATGTTGAGCAATCGAAATATGAAGACGGATCATCGCTTTATTATAAATATGCTGAAGAAAGATGACATAATTTACATATACCATATTAGAGTACATAAGAATGCGTTTACTCAGTTATGGAAAATGAAATAATACGGAATAGATTGACAAATAATAGTTCGTTTAGAAATTTGAACTGGCAAGTAATAGATTTAAAATGATTAGAAACCACGCATAATTATTCATATTACTGAATATATACGGTAAAGGGACAAGATGATCTTATGCTTATTTGTTTGTTGACTACCTCTTTATCATAGGCAAATTGTTATAGAGCACGTTGCAACTCTTATTTGTTATTTCTTATGATGTATCTAATTTCAAGTTTTCTAAATAAAGTTACTTATTTGGGTAAATAGATATGAGCATGAGTATATACATATGACATTGTTCAACACTCGAACTTAAATGATTTAAACGAAGATTTACATTTTAGAATAAATAAGTTAGATTAACTGTTCCGGTAATTTGTTAGCAAGAAGTTCTGTAGTGAGTAGTTCTAAATCCAGGTCAATTAAATCTTCCAAATATGAATTGATTGCTCTATACACAGACCATAGTATCGATAAAGTATGACCAAAACGTACTGGACCTCGTTTGTCATATCTATAATAGCATTGAGACCTTATAAGGAGAAATTTAGTTAAATTGTACTAAAAGTGCGCTAGATATAAGTTCTGTTTATATTTTTAGAAACAGTAATAATAAAAGCACACCTGACAATCATGTAATTGAATAGAGCATCAAGAATAAGTTGTCGTTTACATGATAACTTCCTAAAACTACTTAACGATAGACCAAAACATTCTGCAAAACAAGTCAAGCATTATATTTAGAACAAGAGATGAAATTAGGGATATTTCAAGTAATAATTATTTATTTCATGTAGCGGGATCAAAGTAATAAAAAGTAAGCAGTCCGAAGATATTACTTTATTGTGCTGTGGGTTTGTTAAAAAAACTTTAATAATAATTAGTATGCTAAAACTGGGGAGTGAAATTAATATAATAAATAATTTAAATATTTCAATCATGAGTATATTATTTTAAAATTAAATTGGAATTAATTATTTAATTTCAATATATTTGTTAGAGATAAATAAGTTCATCTTCTTTTCACACTTTAATTAATTTTAATAAAAATTACAAAAAATATTCATTAAATAAAAACTACATACGATTTAAGTAAATGGAAAAAACCATGAGAGCATACCAGGATGTACAAAAGCAATTGCTTTTAATAATGAAAATTCTTTTCTGTCAAGCTTAATTCTGTTCATACTTTCGATTAGTAATGACATTCCAGTACTTTCTCCATTTAACCTATTAATATCAGAAATATTAAATAAAATTTCTAAAATACATATTTGTAAATTTTAAATTAATTTCATTTTACAGTAAAATAAACTTACTGTTTTTCTTTCTCATTTCGATGATTTAGAACAGAAATGCTTTTTGAAATAGACTTTTTGTAAGCAGTGTCCAATAAAATCAGCACAAAAATAACATCACGTAATAATATTATCTGTAATTATTATAATATTATATGTAATTATCATTATATGACAAAAATTATTATGACTTTTAAAAAAATAGAAAGGCAATTACTAATAACATCGACAATTGAAATATGTAATAATAATAATAATAATAATAATAATAATAATAATAATGTGTAGGCGAATATACCTTATCTCTTAGAGGCATCCACTGAAATACATCGAAAGTTTTTGCATATTCTACAGTAACTTCTAACTTCCAATTTAATGAAGCTCCAGCGCTACTACTGCATAGTTTTTGTTGCTAAAAATTCATTATAACCGAAGAAGTAAATTATTGTATTTAATCAAATATTGTATTCTTATGTTCAGCTGATAAGATTAATTTTGTATTCAAGTCATTCTCATTTTTTAACAATCGAAATGAATTTCGCATTTAATTACATTTTTAATTTTTAATATTCTTTTCAGGCTACATTTTTTATCGTGAGAACTGTCATATAGAGCTAAAAATTATCACTACCATGCAATAACATTTAAATTTTTAATTACAATAACATTTAAATTTTTAATTATAATATTTTTGTCGAATTACAGTACAACTTGTATCACAGAAGTTAAGTTAATAATCAGTTCACAAAATGAGTCATTAATTTTGCCATTTGAAAGCATGCATCCAAATTTCTTCATGCTTACTTCGTTTTCATCATCAGAGTTATTAATATTATATGATGTATCAATAACTGATGGTCGTGTTAAAAGGTCAAGTATTGAAATTGAAGTGTTAGATTTGTCGGTAATCATGAATTCATCAATACCGTCTTGAACACGAGTAAGTTGCAAGATTAGCTACAAAATATTAAAGTAAAAAGTAGTAAGTAAATTTTTTAGAAAAAAAGCAAGAAAATTTTTTTTTGTAAACTGCGGAAGACTTTACATAAATAAATTATTTATGATCCTATCTAAAGATTATAAAATATCTAACTTTTTAAGTGATAATTTTTAAACTTAAACCTTTATATTTTATAATAATTTTTTAAGTTGCTAATTTATTTTTTGTTGAAAAATACTATTTCTGCAAGCAATTTTCAGTGATATTATTTTAATTTCAAAAAATATTTGTCCTAAAATTAAATCATCATTAATATTTTTCAACGTCAGTAATGCAAAATCTATGAAATATGCAAAAAATTACATACAAAGTTTGACTTCTTAACAGCAGAAAGAAAGTATTACTTGACTTTTCAAAAAGTCAAAATAAGAATTATTTATTTTTGAATCATAGAAAACTTACCTTTTCATGTTTCTCTGACATTATGCATTGCTTTCGTACAGCATTATAAAAGTCAAAGGTTAAATCAGAAGTTGATGATGACTTGGTATCTGGCTTCATGCATTTTAAACTACAAAATTAACAAAACTTCCTTCATATGAAATTTGAAATATTCTTATGAAGATTTTTTCTCTTATCTCTTGCATAAATTTTTTTAGTTCACTTTTTTCCTTACTCATAAAAATTGTTTCATTTGAAAATTACTGCAAAAAAAATTATGCTTCAACTTAATAAATAATTTTTAATAATTAAACTTATTATTCAATTTGTTTATTTCTTTTGATGGATAAAAAATAGTAAAAAATCAATTATCGTGATAAAACCAAGTAAAATCTGATTTAACTTCTTGTTGATTTATTTAAATCTTATATGCTCACCTTAAATTTTCATTTGAATTTGATATAGAAGTGGGTTTCGAGAAACCGAGAAGAGCAGAAATAGTATAGGCTCGTTTAGATGCAGTAGAATTGCTTTGATCTAGACTTGATCTAGATCGTTTTCGATCAGAATCTGTGGGTTTTGATAGTAAACAGTATAATTCTTTTTCAGTACTGATCGAGCTTGTAGTTTCACAATTTTGAGATATATCAACAGAATCCAAAGAACAGTTAGATGAGGTAGTAGAAATTGATACTTCTTGTGGTGATGTCATACGTCCTGTACGATTACACTGAATAGCTAAAAGAACAATTTAAATTTCTTCATTACTCCAAAATTGTGTAACTTTTCAACAAAACATAATAAGTTAATAATTACTATTAAAATTATCTGAGCGCGGGACAAGTACTGCCAGAATGCCGGAATGCGATCCAGCGCAGTACCAATAAAGCGAAAATGAAAACTAACCTCCACATTTTATTTATTTATTAAAATAATTAAAATAAATTTAAAATCGAATTGAAAACCTTTGGGATTCATTCCAACTGCAACACATTTATTAAATCGACAAGCACGACATGCGCATCTCATATCTGAACATAAATATAAATTAATTAAATTAATTTCATTTGTGACTTTGAAGAAAAAAATTATTTCCTAGCATCAAGTTTTTTAATTATTGAAATCAAAGGTATTTAGCATCGAAATACAAAAAAATTGTTTAAAAATTATGGCATAATTAGCTTTAAAAAAATGCTAATAATTGATCTTTCAATAATAACAATGAATATATTTAGTAATTTATTAAAAATTTTATATAAATTCCTAATTAAAAAAAGATTAGCATATGTTTAAGCGCTTTGAGTAAACAAAATGTAATTTAACAGTTAACAGTAACAATTAACAGTAACAGCTAGCAGTAACAGTTAACAGTTAACAGTTAACAGCATATGAACACGTATTATTTTATCTAATTACAGTAATATTTCCTTGAAAACTGGCATTTCCCATGTAAGAAAGTTAAATCAAAAAAGTATTCGTAAGAAAATTTAATACATTTGAGTAAAATATCCGAAGGCTACGTTAGTTTAGAATGTACTTTGTACGAATACTTGATTTCAAGGTCAGAACAAAGGAACTGATGAGAATATTGTTGACTACTTTTGGCCACTTTTAACTATGACCCTGACCTATATGTCTTGGGTCAAAGCGCGTTTTCTTGTCAATAGCCAAACCCCAGTGTGACCCATTATTAATGGAGCAAATCATTAATAAATAGAGCAATGACACCAAAACAGTCAAATTTTTTTATTGCATTTAGGATCAAAAGGTTGTACAACTAATTAAACAATATCTTAATTCCCCACATCTTTACTAAGCTCGTTTCATTTATACGTAGACATCTGAATCGTATAAAAAATAACTAACTACTTTAATGAAATTATCATTTTTAGAATATTTTTATGCTTTTCAATTTTATTCAAATATGAATTTTAATTACTTATTCACTTAATTTTATAAAAACTCACCTTTGTCAAATGTACAATTGCCATTTTTATAGCACTTATAAATTCGATTAGAAACCAAGGTACGTCGGAAAAACGTCTTGCTAAAATTTACTTTAATATAAATTGCCAAAGTAGAAATTATAATAGAAATTATATAATCATATACACGATCTACACGATCTCGTATACTTATTATTATTTACAATCAACGTTCTGAATAATTAATAATGCGCTTGAATTAAAATGTTCATTAGTCCATTCTCTAAGTTTATGCTTTCTTTAGTAATATTTTAGTTTGTAATTTTCTATCATTAAATAAATTTTTTGTATTCATTTATTTTCTATATTTTAATTGCACAATAAATCTCTGATTGCATTCTTTACAATTACTACTGAAAATTCACGCACGCATTTTTTGCACAATTAGTTATGATTCAACATCAGTCTTTCCCAACACAAACACAAACAAACGTGTAAAAGAAATTGAATTAAATGCAAAAAAAATTTTTTTGAAAGAATTAATTGCAGTTTTATATGGCATTTACCAAAACTTTTCTTACGTCTTTTCACGTTGATTAGCTATTTGAATCACGCTTCTTTGACGTTTTGTCTTACATATAGTATTTTTTAGTTTTGTTATCACAATTCTTAAACAAATGAGTTTTAATAAGTTTTATTATATTAATTCTAATTTGAAAATATCACTGTTTATTCTTTCGACAAAAAAAATTTATTACTTGTATAATTCAGCTAACAAAAACACAAAAAATTAACCTTTAACCCTCAGTATTCTAAATTAAAATGTTTGCAATAAAAATTTACCACCCATTGCAGCTAGCAACGTCGTAATGAAAGCCAGTGGCTAAATCTCCGCAAACAGCACAGCTTTCAGTCGTTTTGGAGATTTCTAAAATTAAGAACAGAATCTTTTTTAATCTTATCTTTACGACCTTAACTTCAGAGTAAAAGTCACTCATTCTTCTGCATATAATAATAAAGCTGAAATATTGCTCTCTATATACAAGCCATATAATATTGCTAAGAATTATTATTATATTTAACCTTTGACCCTCAGCTAAAAGATCGGTTTTAATTCTATATTTTGTTTTGTTCAAAAAGAAAATTTTTGAATTCAGAGTTTTCATCTGCATTAATTAATGACATTTTAACATTTTTAATTGTATTTGTAATTTTAAATTTGAAGCCAAATTTCCCGAATTAAAACTAAAAACAAATTTAGGAAGAAAATATTTTTCATTGATAATAATAATTGATAATAATAATAATAATAATGATAAAAAATAGCGGTAACTAAAATGAATAATAACAACGCTTAATAATAACGATAAATATTTTCGAAAATTTGATATGCATATTAGCATGAATAATGAGATAAAGCAGAAATGAAGTGGACTAATGACCAATCAGCATTTGCGTGATTGTTGTGGAAAAGAAAGTAGTAGGTCAGCTAAGGTCAGACAACAAATTAATTGCAACTCTTTAATTCAGTCAGTCAGAGAATATAATGATCAGTAATCGCTAAATTTGTACATATCTTGAAATGAAATACATTTTGTAGAAGTAGTAAATGAATTTGCAAATTAATTGAATTTAGCTGAAAGTTAGAAATCGAATTTGTAATAACTCATTTCAAGTTATTTATTTACATATTTATGAATAAATACGTTATATACGCAGTGATTTATACGTAAGCAAAGAAAACGAAGCATCAAATGTCCAAACTACTTTTCATAGGGATAAAGTGTAACGGATGTTGAATAAATGAATAAAAGTAAATATCGGATTCATAAATAAAGAATAAAGTGTAAAATGAATGTAATAATGGATGAATAGATTGATGGACAAAGGAATGGACGAAAAGTTAAGTCACGGAAGAAAGCTAAGAATCACGTAAAGATGAACAGAAGACCAATGAGATTTACACGTGAATGCAGCATGAAAGGCTTGAATTTTTTAAGATTTACTCACATAAAAGTATTTCTTCCGTCCACTCTCACGTACTCTTCACATAAAATCTAAAATGTGCTGTTTTTTACTTTTGAATATTGAAATAGCCTATCTTCATCAATTTAAAAATATTGCACAAGTATGTTTCTTTGTGAGCGCAGATTTTTTGTATGCGTCTGTTCTATATTACTGTGTTTAGGCTTTGACGTGTGGATATAAGAAATCTTCATATTCAAGCGTAAATGTGCGTGTATGTATGAAGTAATGTTTGCATAAAGCCATGGTGCATTCATGTTTGCGTTTGTTTACATGCAAGCAATCTCTTACAACGATAAGTGCTGTAATAGTATAATTATCATTATAAATGATAATACTTGGGAATAATAATAATAATAATAATAATATTATTATTATTATTATACTATTATT